ATTGAACCGCGGTCCCTGATGCTTTGCCAAGCTAGTTCCAAGTAGGTGCTTTAGACCACTGAGCCATCTCTCCAGCCCCTGCTTTTATGTTCTCATTTAACTTTTTGTTTTTAAGTAATTTGTGTTTTAAAAAAGTCCCAAGAACTCTCACTGGCCCTTCACCAAGATTCAAGAGTGTTAAATTTTTGTCGTTCTTAGTCCAACATTCCCTCTTTCTCTACTCATATTCTTATGAACCATTTGAAAGTGGCAGATGGTAGGCTCCTTACCTCTAGTTCAGTGCAAATAAGAACAGTGGCATTTTAAAAATATAACCAGAATATAGCTACCAAAATCGGAATCACAAATTCTGATGTGTGGTCTGTACTGAACTTTTTCTAGTGAGCTTACTATCATGCTTTATAGCGTTTTTATTTTCTTACTGGTTCAGGATGCAATACAAGGTCTATTGTGCATTGTCTTCTTAGTTTTCTGCAGCCTGCTTTTTTCATTACTGTTTTTGGTGTTGGGGGTCAAATCCACATTAAGTATTTGTGCAACCAGTGAGTTCACCCCAGCCCAGGAAGACTTCATTTGAGGTGTGCAGACTGTTATTTGCTAAGCTGTTCCTCTGTTAGAGTTGTGATAGTTCCTTGTAGCTGGGTGGAAATTATGCTGTCCCAGCAGGGATGTATCAGGAGGATGCTGTGTCCTTTGCGGAGCTGACTGTCTTCTCTCCACGTCCAGGTGAAGTACTTCATGGTGAGGAACCCGTCCTCCCTGCCAGTGTCCTTGCAGCTGCTGCCTCTCTCTTTGTACCCCAAGCCGGAAGCTGCGGTGCACCTACTGCACAGATGGTAGGGAGATGCTCCTGTGTGACGGGCAGTGGGAAACACAGTGAAGACTCAGAGCCACTGAAGAAGCCCTGTGTTCTGTCGCCCAGGCTCTGTCTGTGCACGTCCATGGCCCTGATACATAGCTGCGTCCACAAGCACCCAGCTCCTTGGTCCTTGTCACTTGTTGGAAGTTCTTGACTGTGTTGTCTGGCACCTTCTGTGTCAACTGTGTCAGGCCCACTATCTGATGAGTGTTCTGTTTTTTTGTTTTTTCTTTTAAGATAAAAATATTTTTAATGTTTTATTAGTACATATTTGCACTGCATAAAGGTTGCATTCCTTGTGCGGAGTTGATGGATGCACGGAACCCATCTTACTTCTTCTTTCCCCTCCTGTGATAGTGAAGCGTGTGTGTATGGTTCATTTTACTTAACGCTCTGATGTCAGGATGCATCCATTTTCCCACATGTGTTTCAGGTTTATCCCTTGAGGCGGAGTAGTACTCCACTGTGTGTAAAACTACATTTTCTTCATACATTCATCTGTTGATAGATAGGATGCTTTCAAGACTTGGGTATTATGAACTGTGCTGCTATAAAAATGGGTGTCCCTGTGTCCCTGTCATATGATGCATTTAATTCTTTTGGGAGAGGGTACCTAGAAGGGGAATAGCTGGGTCATGTTCTTGTCCTGTGTTAAGGAACCTTTACCATTATGACTTTTGTGTATACTTCTGCAGTCAAGAGTCTGAGTCATGATGTGATGAATTAGAATGGGCTGCAGTGGTGTCCCTGTGGAGTCCCAGCTGCCTGGGGGCTGAGGCAGCAGGGTGGCATGTTCAAGTCTGACAGCCTAGCAAGACCCTGTCTCAAAAAAATAAGTAAAGTGTTTTGGTGTATTGTAATTTACTGTCAGACTGTGAGAGATGATGATAGTGTTCATTCGTGTCTAGTTACTTCCAGATAGTCTCAGTTGGGTATAGAATACTGCCTCCTCTGGGATGTATGTCTTAGCCCAGGCATCTCAGCCTGCGCACTCTTGGCATTTTGGACAGATGTGTAGGTGCTTGTGTGCATGTGCTGTCTCCTGTACTGAAGTGTGTTCACCACATCCCTGGCACTCCCCTGAGGGGCCCCTAGAACTTCCCTGGCCAGGGCACCCAGAGACATCTACAGATGCCACCAAATGCTTCTCAGGGGTGAACTTGCCTTTGAACTACTTCCTTTTAAGTTTCATGTCTGTAACCCATTTGGAAGAAACAGTTGCTTCATATTTAGAGTCTCTGTCCCTGTGTCTCTCCACACTCTGCTGCCAGACTCCTCCTGAGTGCTGTCTTCTGAGCCCTGGCAGTGTGGGCTGTGACAGGCTGGGGCGGGGCACAGGAGGCTGTGCGTGCATGTGTACAGAGGCAGTGCACACATGGGATGTTAGTTCTTTTTGGTGGATCTTAATGCTATTTCAAAACTTTGGTTTTTGTCTTTGTAGGTTTGGCACTGATATGCAGATGATTAATTTCACAACGGGTGAATTCCAGCTCACCAAAGGTTGCCTTTACCGGGTAGGATGTCCTCTTCAAACAGAAAATCCATGTTGGGGACTAGCCCCAAAAGTGAATGGGCCTTATGCCCTCATGTTCAGGTGTTTTGTGTACTGTGTGTGGCTCTCTTGTTTTCATTCTCTAGGCATGAAGGATAGATGCAGAGCAGATTTTTCCAATTAACTAGTCCAGCAGGAGTCAGATTCATTTTAGCCTATAAATCATTTTAATTTGATGACTTTGAATTCGTGCAAACAGAGAAATAACAGTTGAGTCAGAGCTGTGTAGAAAACCATGAAACTCAGGACCCCAGAATTTAATAATTCTCTTAGGACTCATTGGCCCCTTAAAATCTTTTAAAGGAGATTTTAAGGTAAAACTGAGTATATGTAACATGTTTAAAAACCTAAACCGTGTTCATGTTTTTAGCAAGTCACCTAATCTGTTATGTTCATCTCATCTATAAAAAAGGATTCTTTAAAATTCCTAAGTCCCTGGCAGTCTAAAGACTTTTGTCTGAGTATTTCTTAGGAGTAGGGGTAAAAAGACACATGGTGAAGACATTGTTTGCCCGGTGACTTGCCAGCCTGATTTCTTAGTTTTCATTTAGTGACTGTAGATAGTGTTGGTCTCACAGGTTTTGTGCATTTGAGATCAACTGAAAAGTGGAACATTTGTCAGGCATGGTGACACATACCTGTCACCCCAGCTATTCAGTGGCTAAGGCAGGAGGACTGCAGGTGTTAGGCTAGCCTGGGCAGCATAGCGAGACCCTGTCTCAACAGTAAAAAGAGTGTGGGAGCCAGGGGTGTTGCTCAGCAGTAGAGTGCTTACCTAGCATGCTCTGGGGCTGGATTTGAACCCCAGCCCCACCCCCAAGTGAAGCATCTGTTAAAAAGAGAAAGTGTGTACATACACATTTAAGTGCCTGTCCTATTTTTCTTTCTCTGCGCTCTCTCTTCAGAAATATACTGTTGGCCTAGTTTAACTATGGAATAACAGGAGACCATGGATAACCTCCAGCTAAGAGTTGAGACGAAATGAATCAAAGCCAGTTTTTAAGTAGGTCTTCTGTAGAGAGTTATAGTAGCAAACAGGTTGCCAGCACACTGCTTTCTCTGTAGTGGCCTTGGCTGCATCAGACTGGCCAGAACCCGCACTGGAGTGGCCCTGTTCTCCTCTGGGAACCTTCCTTTAGCAGAGTGTCCAGAGCTGTTTGTGGTGATTAGTCTGTGACACTAAGTAGATATTTTTCCCTCCCAGTTTCACATTGAAGTAATGTCAGTTTCTTTTATATCCAAATATTTTATTCAGATTTGAAAAAATGGTACAGATTATTTGGGAAAAGTTTATGTCTGTGACTGCAGATTTTCCCCAAGAATATTCCACCTTTGGGATAAGGGCAATTGTTACCATTGCAAATGCACTGCATAAACAAAGGAACCATATCAGTGCCTCGAAAAACTTAGACTATAACTGAAAATTTTGAAGCTTTTTGTTGTGTAAAGAAAGGACTCTTATAATTTTGTTAGTTCTTAGAAATACGGTTCCTTCAGTGAAGAGTATGTGGAATTGGATTTTGAGGGCTTTAACTCCTGGTTCTTGAGTACTCTACCAGTGTGACACCCCCTTGCTGAATTACCTATTGTTTCGGAGCCTCATCTTGCAAAATAACATGTGAAGGCTTGGTAAAATTTAGAAAGTGGATGACTGGTGTTTTGTAGGCCTGAAGTAGCCCAGTGCCAGGCATATAATAACCACTTTGGAGGCAGTGCGGGTATTGTAAATTGAACCCCAAAGTCAGCAAATTTTGTTAGTGTTTAGATTATGCATATAAAGCAGGGTTTTCTCCTGCATGGAGTTTGTTAATTCTAATGAAAATGAATTAGACACCATCATCATTTATTCATTTATTCATTCATACTTCTTCTTTGGCAGCACTGGGGGCTAAACCTGGGCCCTTTTTTTTTTTTTTTAGATTCTGGCACAGGGTCTTGATATGTAGCATGGACTGTAGTAGATCCTCCTATTTCAGCCGCCTGAGTGCTGGGATTACAGGTGTGCACCACCACTCCCGGTTTACAGGCCTTCTTATATACTAGCTCTGTATTCTGAGCTTTGTCACCGGGTGTTCTTTTAGAACAAGTTTTTCAGATAGCATGGGAAGTGATTGCCATGCTTAAAGGATGAAACAATGTAAAAGCTGAAAACATGAATAAGAAATATCATTGTACAGATTGTATCTTAATCCTTAAAGTTATTTTTAGTGAGAAGCTAGCAAAAGTGGTGGGAAAAAAAAAAAAAAAAAAAAGTGGTGGGAAGATAAAGACTGAATCTTGAGTGTTAAATTTTAGAGCAGAGTATTTTTGCTCAGGAGAAAATCTTGGAGAAAAGGAAGAAGCACAATAAATAAAGGTACTTCCCAGGCTGATCGGAGAGACTATGTGTGAAAAGGGGAGATGTATGGTTTCCATATAGACATAGGTTGAACATTGAAGTGACCTTTGGCTTGTCCTACAGTGAATGAGATTTCGGTGGTGTTTGAGCAGACTTTCTGGTTCTTTTGTGATTAATGGTTTTGCTTTTAAAGCTTCTTTGTTTCTCTCAAGCCAGGAAGCAAATGCCTTTCTAGCTTCCATGTCAGGTTGTCCTACTGCCATTCCATATATGTCACAGCCGCAACTTGGCAACTATTTATTGGCCTGAACAGGATAAACACATTCAGTTAGGTTGGTGAGGTGCTCAGATTCCATACCCAGTATGACAAAAACAACAAGAAAGGTTGATGAGGACAGTTGGATCTGGACATCTTTACAGATGCACTTAATAAAGATGGAAACTCTTGCTCTACAGGAGAGTGGAATTGTCTGATACCATTCGTGATTTGCAGGGAAGGCATGCTGAGGAAGCCAGGGTTGCCACTCTTCACTTGGACTTGCAGCCTCTGGAAATGAGAAGGGTTGGTGTCGTTTTCACACCAGTGGATTATGGAAAAGTTACCTCACTCATACTGATCCGGTAGGTGTCCTGGTTGCTGACTTGGCTGCCTAGGTCTCTCTCTCAGGTGGTTGCTTCAGCTTGAAGCAGACATCCCTACGTCATTTGCAGGGATAAAGCTGGGCTGCGGGTCAGGAGGAGGCCTTGGTAAGGGCCCCTGTGGCTCCATGCATCATCCCGGGTGCCTCTGCCGCCTCTTTCTCTGGAGCAAGTTTCTATCTCCAGAAAGGAAGCGTTTCACTTGTCATGTAGTCCAGTGCTGTCAGAAAAGGCAGAACACACATGCAGATGTATTTTTCTTTCCTTAGTATAGAAAAATAACTGAAACATAGCTATAGACATTTTCCTCTTTACTGTTTGAGAGAGGGAAACCACTCATTCTTGGCAGCCCCAAAGGAAAATGGAAAGAGTATTTCCTGAGATCATTTTCTTTCTTTTCCTTTCTTTTAAGTAACAGCTGTGAGCTGGGTATGGTGTATGGTATTGCATGTCTGTAATTCCAGCACTTGGGAGGATGAGGCAGGAGGATTGCTGGCACTAGCCTGAATCACAAAATGAGGCCCTTGTCTTAACTAACCCCCAAAAGGGGCAGCTTTAGTTGCCTGTGCTAACACCTCTTTTCAGTGCATCTCCTTTCTCCTTTCTCTCCAGGAATAACTTGACGGTTATTGATGTGGTTGGTGTGGAAGGATTTGGAGCAAGAGAGCTGCTTAAAGTGGGTGGACGACTTCCTGGCCCAGGAGGGTCACTCCGCTTTAAGGTGCCTGAGTCCACACTGATGGAATGCCACCGACGTGAGTACTTGTGCATGGTGCCCGGGAGAGGCTGCACATCACAAACAGAGCAGAAGAATGAGTACGAATGGTTTTTGGAAAGTTAGTAGTAAACCGGGCATAGTGGCACACACTTGTAGTCCCCACACTCAGGAGGCTGAGGTCTCACTACAAGTTTGAGACCATCCTGGGTGACATAGTGAACTCAAGGCCAGCCTGAGCTACACAGTGAGACCTTGTCTCCAAAAAAAGTACTAAATGCAAGGTCAGTGAAGACTAAGGACATAGGAGAACCTATACCGTAACATCATGTAACTTAATTGTGTCCCAGATTTTCTGATCAAGGAGATTATGGGGCCACAGAGCAACGTGATCAATGACAGACTGTGCCTAAGGAGAGTCATAGGGAGAGACAACATTCTCTCAGGCTTTCACAGAGAGCAAGTTGGTCAGGCAATGGCCGTGACTCATCCACATGGCTGACACTGACAAAGAATCTGCAAACTGTGGTATAGGGTAACAGGATAAATCCTGAGGGTACTTAACTGATACAAAAGTTAAATTTCTTGTTATAGAGGTTCTGCTTTATCTTGGTCTTAACCATCCAGCAGAAAAGTATAAAAATGAGGTATATAAAGTAAAGCCATATTAATATGCTGAGTTGTGAAAAGCTCAAGTCAATAACTTTTGTGGATAACCCACTACTATTGTGGACTGCTGAACTGTGTTAGATTGTTGTGCTGAATTCATGCACCTATAGTATTTAGATGCCAAGGGAATACCCATTTCTGACAGGATTAAACAAAAATGGGGATACAAAGGAAGGACCATTTTCTATCTGTATATGCAGAATAGTTAGGATAGATATATGGCTACTTTCTTTTAATTCAGTGAGAAGAAAGATTTGTACTAATAGTGTTTGGACAGGATATCCTGTCTGCATCTTGTACTATGGATAACCACTAAGAAGGTAACAATGTACATTGTATTAATTATTGAAACTGTCCTATTGGCTTTGAAACTGTCTTATTGCTATTTGTTTCTCAATAAAATAAATAAAATAAAATAAAAATAAAAAATAAATAAAATGCACAAATCTTAAAGGTAAGATTTAATGGTTTAAACTCACATAACTGCCACCATAATGAAGTAGAATATTTTAATCAGGACAAAATGTTCCACTGGGCCCTTTCCAGGGAGCCCCTGCCTGCTCAACATGATTTTTTCTTTTGACTTAAATCATGTTCAATAACCTGTTGAAACTCCAGAAAGAGAAAAGGAAAGAAAAAGAAATTTCTTTAGTGAAAATCAGAGAGGAATCAAGAGCTTCTTGGCTTCTTAATTTTAATGGCTATGGTTATGTTGTTTCATACCCTAGCCTGTCTTCAAATGATTAGGTCATTTCTAAATGAGGAATATTAACTTGTATAGTAACAAGATTTGGTACCTTAGCCACACATTCGGGTGGGAACACATTTCTATCCACCCAGGGTCAGCACCGTGCTGCTTCTCGCTTCAATTTGGAACATGAACGTTAGGGAAATTGACTACCGCCTGAACTCCAGATTTAGCCCAGCAATGCCAAAACTTTATGTTGTGTATAAATAGTAATAACTACTTTAAAACTGATTTTCTTCTTTGTATGTTATGCAATCAAGTGGAGTGGCTACTGTGAACAACTATATTATTCAAATATGAAAAGTTAAAAAGTAGTAAATGCATTGCATTGGTGCAGGTAGGTAAAGCAGGCCAGCCTTTGAGCGTAAGGGACCGTGGATTAGTAGCTTTAGGTATTTACCTTAATTTAAACAGTAAATGTAAAGGGAAGAAAAAGCGTACTTAATGAGAAGTATTGTGTCAAATATTTAAGATAAAGATATGGAGCAGTTAATCTGGATATTAATCACTTAATGAAAGAATCACACCAGAGTGTTGAATTGAGAGGAGGGCTAGATGTGTGCTAACAGTAGAATTTTTTGTGATGATGGAAATGTTCCGACATGGCCCTGGTGAGGAGGGAGGCTAAGGCAACTTAGACTCAGTTTCTCCTCCTATATACGCAGGACGCAGGTCGCTTCTGCAGTCTTGGAAGGTGTAAAGGTTTCTCTGTACCTGCAGCTCTTGCGATTCTGCAGTACGCTTTGGCTGGGTGTCCTGCCATCCAGTCCGGTCCTGTGTGCTGGAGACATTGCTGTCACAGGTCCAAGCTTCTGAAACGCTTAAGAGGCTGCAAGTTGTTGTCCTTTGAACCCCTCCTCAGGTTTACTAGAACAGCATGAAGAACTCAGGGAATCATTTTACCATGTTTATCCAGTTATTATCAAGGGCACTTTTTGCAGTTTTTCTTTTAATTTTTTATTTTTATTAGCACATTTGCAGTACATAATGATCACTTCTATTGTGGGGAGTTGAGATACATACAGATAACATCCCAACCCTCCTGCAAGGATATTTCAGATGAGATGGGGTACATTCAGGGTGGTGTGGATGTTTTGAAGGTGTCTTAGTTACTCTTCTCTCATTGCTGGGACAAATACCCAACGCTCAAAATGAAGGAAAGGTTTATTTAGCTCACAGTTCCTGGAGGTTTCAGTCCATATTCAGCTGGGTCCAAGGCAGAGCAGCACATAGCAGAGGGCAACCTTTCATGGTGGCGGCAAAGAGGAAGAGTAAAAAGGAGGGGTAGCAGCAGCTCAAGCATCTAGCTTCTCTTCCCTCCTTATATTGTAACACAAACTACCTGCCCCAGGGCAGGTGCAGCATCCACACCCATAGTAATCCATCATAAACTCCAGAAGCTGCCCCAAGACTGCATGAGACTTAAGGGGGGGGGGGCGCGTACCTATACACAAACCATAACAGAAAGATATAACTAAGCAGTCCAGTGAAGAGGTATGTAGGACAAGATCTGCGATTCCTGGGTACAGGAATTCTGTCCCCATGGAGTTGGGGTGCACCCTCTCACTTGGCAGACAGGTTCTCATTGGCCATCTTGCGATCCTCTGTGTATCTGCCCAGAGGCTCTGGAGCCCTGCCTTCTTGGGTCTTTTTGGGAGCTGTGGGCACCCAAGTTGAAATGTGGTTGTACGAATTGTACGAAAAGGCTGTGGTCTGATACAAACCGCTGAGCAGGGGACCCAGCAATGCCTATCTGCTTAGGTGCTGATTGGCCTCTAGGCAGCAGGAAAAACTGTAAGCTCCTACTTTTCTGTATTTGGCCTGCCTTCCACCGATCTGTAGTAGGTCATACATTCTGGAAAGGTCTGCCCCTTAATCTGAGGGAGATTTTGATTACCTAGACAGAACACTGAAGAAAAATCTCAATTATTTCTCTTGTGTCGTGATAATAAAACAGTTTAGATAGGACAGCTGCAGAAATTCTGATTCTAGAAATCGCACTTGGAAAGCTGTTGAACTTTTTTCACATTTTCATAATACTAGATTATGTTTTGGTTGATTCAGTAAGTAGTGATTTAGTAAGTTACATTGAACAAATTTTGCTGCTGCTTGTACATACCAGATAACACTTTCCATCCTCATTAGAACTGAAAGACAGCAAGCAAATTTTATCTATTACAAAGAACTTTAAAGTCGAGAATATTGGACCGCTTCCTATAACTGTGTCATCACTGAAAATCAGTGGCTATAACTGCCAAGGGTATGGATTTGAAGTGCTGGATTGTCATCAGTTTTCCTTGAACCCAAATACATCGCGTGACATCAGCATTGTGTAAGTACTGGGTTTTAACTTCAGTTCTGTGATATATTTAACACTGGAAGGGGGAGGGGCTTTTGCCACTGTAAGACATCTCATTTGTTTTATATATTTGTTTTGTAAAAATGATGGGTTTTGCTGTGGTATAGTTATTTTACTTCATAACTAAAGTTGAAACCATTAAAAGTTCATAAAGGTGACTCACCTGTTACCAGGTTTACTCCCGACTTTACCTCTTCCTGGGTCATTCGGGAGCTAATGCTGGTGACCACAGCTGACCTGGAGTTCCGCTTCACCCTCAACGTGACCCTCCCTCACCACCTGCTGCCCTTGTGTGCAGATGTGGTTCCTGGGCCCAGCTGGGAGGAGTCCTTTTGGAGGCTCACAGTCTTCTTTGTCAGGTAAGCCTCTTCTCTTGCCGCACTAGCCAGCAAGTAGAGGTTTGCTTGAAAATAACAAATCGCCCAAGGAGTGGCAAGCAAAAGAATTTTAAAAAATGACCAGTCTGTGTTTGTAGTACATAATGGTGACCCTTGTAGTAAGGAGGTGTGCCCCTACCTCACACCTCCTTATTCTTTCCTCCTCATGTCCTCCCCTCCCTTCCTGCTTCCTCCTACTCTTGATCCCCTCCCTTTTTCAAAAAAACCTGGGCAATGACAGGCAGGTTTGGAGGTAATAGTGGTCTAATTGTTAGAGATTAAACCACTAATTGTTAGGGCCTAGAAAGGACATGGATACTTGTGTGTATGTAGATTGGCAGTCACAGGGGGAGATCTGATGTTACACTTGGTAGCTCGTCCTTATTAACTCAATGCAGTGACAGTTTGAGGTTATAATACCAAAAGTACCCCTTTAAAGGATTTTATCCTGGAAATTTAAAAATTGAACTGTAACGTCGACCTTGTAAATGTGCACATTCTGTAAAATCTAAGTTTTTTTGTTATCTTTAAGAAACATCAGACATTATGATGTCATACATCATTTTGGTTTGGTTTTGTTTTGTTGGTACCAGGAATTGAAGTCAGGACATTGAGCTTACCAGGACGGTGCTGGGCCACTGAGCTATATCCCTGGCCCAGTGTCATACATCCTAATGATAATTTAGCGCTGTATATCCGGCCTTTTCTCATCAGTCATTCACCAGTCTTCTGTAACACAATTAGTTTCTTACTTTCTTTGGTTTTTCTGTGTGGCAGGGGCTGGGGTCATGCTGTGTTGCCTGGGCTGGGCCTGAAACTTCTGAGCTAAGCTGTCTTCTTGCCCCGGCTCCTGAGCTGGGACTACAAGCATGTACCACCCTGCTGGATTTGGAACTGGTCTTTTAAATGCCAGTCAGAGCCATGAAATAATGAATGTCATTGTTCCCCCCACCCCAGTTTGTCCCTGTTAGGTGTCATTTTGATAGCTTTCCAACAAGCACAGTACATCCTTATGGAGTTCATGAAAACAAGACAGAGGCAAAACATTAGCTGTTCCTCACAGCACAACGGTGGTCCGGTAGACATCATCAGCTCCCATTCTCACAAGTAAGAATCCTGTGTGTGTGTGTGTGTGTGTGTGTGTGTGTGTGTGTTCTTTGGGGGTGGGTTCTGTTGGGATATTACTCATTTTGCATTTTATTTAAGGTAATATACATTTGATTCCAAGTTTGTTTTCATAAAACTTATGTGAACAGCTGCACCCTATCTTTTCTCAGGACATAGTTTTTGTGTAAGGGCTTAGTTCACCTGCATACTCAGTGTCAGAGCTTCCCAGGGCTTTAAAAGAGAAGGTAGAGCTCTGTAGAATATACACTATCCCCTGCTGCCTCTTTTTCATAGATGAAGAACCAGAGGTAAAGTTTGATTTGGTTTTTCTTTATGTAAAATGATTTTCTTCTTAAATCTAGAAGTAATTGCAAGAACTTTCTTGAAACGTATGGCCCCTCAGATAAGGGCAGGAGCAAAAGCTGCCTTCCAGTGAGCACTCCACAGAGCAGAACACAGAACGCCCCCAAGAGGAGCCCGGCCACTCATGGCCATTCTCAGAAGAAGCATAAGTGCTCGGTCTACTACAGTAAGCACAAAGCCAGCATGTCTGCAGCCAGCAACACCAGCGTTGCCCCTGAGGAGAAGCAGATGTTGACTTTGGGGAGCTCCCTGTCTTCTGTGAAAGAAGACCTTTGCACTGATGTTGTGGGTGAGAGCTGGGTCAACCTCAAATATGCAAGTGGCGTGCATGTCAATCTGCAACAGAATTTAACCCTCCCCAAAAACTTACTGAATAAAGATGAAAACACACTGAAAAACACAGTTGTTATCAATAATAGCACTTCTTCAGAATTCAGTCTGAAGGATGGAGTACAGACATGTGTGTTTCCTAAGGAAACTGACATTAAAACTTCAGAAAACATAGTTGAGCTCAAGGAACGAGAGTTCTATCCACTGAAGACCTCTAAGAAACTACCTGAAAATCCTTTGGCAAGAAACTCAACCCAGCACCAGCAGTCAGATTTGCCAGAAGTTTCCAGGAAATACAATGGTAATCTTTTTTCCTCCTTTACTCTTCTCTTTGCCCCTCATATGTTCTGGATGGGGTTCCCTGCCCCGTGACCTTCAGTTTAATTATTTGTGGATACTGAGTTCTTTCGTTCACTCAAAGGTATAAATGCTGAAATGTGACTTGTCAAGTGCAGAGTATTAAGTCCAAAGGCCTAATGTTGTGGCTTAGAGGTTTAATTTTTGGTACATAGAGAGTTGTGAATATTTTATTCTTGGGAGAAAGACATGGACACCTTTTTGTCATTATTTGTTCTTGGCTTTTTCAGACTACAGTATTTGCAACAAATAATCAGCCCACATAGTGTTTACTTAATAGCTGCTACCATCTCATGTTACCTGGTCATGGTGGTTCTGTAATGGGATCTTCTGGATAAAAGAAGACAGATGTCCTCATGTGACAGTTATAGTTCATGGATACACAGTAAAGTAGTCTAGGAAGACCACACCCAGAGAAAATAGGTGTTAGCGTCACTTGATCCCTTTAGCCTCTGGGGGAGGCCTATGCTTTCTCTTCTCCCTTTCCCTTTTTCCTCTTTGCCTTGTTTTTTTTTTTTTTTTAAACATTGAAAAAATCTTTTTTTTGGTCCTGAGAATTTTTTTTTAATGTGAAAAGACATTTTATTATTTGACTATTACCATATATAGTATTAGTGTATTTTTTTCAGTGGCAAACTAAGCACAGGATAGCATTTCTCTTCGATTCTCCCCTGAATCTCAGTATCATCTGTCTTTTGGAGGATTCAGTTTCATATGACGTCTGTGATACCGCCCGCGAGGATACCAACGATGCTTCATTGTGAAGAACGTTTTGCTAAGTTGTTCTATCATGGGTCCTTGCTCAAGGAATTCACTTTCATTTTCTTCTAATCATTTTCTTCTTTCATTTTCTTCAGCACTTGATCATATGTTTCTTCAATATTATGGACAGGATCTGGTTGAGGCACAGGTCTTGTGTGTTCATATGGAATGTCCACAGAAGGGTGGTAGCATACTATTGTCCTGCCATCAGATGTCAAAGCAAGCTCTACTTTGCAATTATAGTCATCTGGAAGAGAAGAATACATAGATTTACAGCAAACATGAGATAAAGCTCCATCACTAGGCTACCATCTTGCCCTCATCCTGTCCTGAGAATTGAATCCAGTGCCACTCTGCTACTGAGCTGAATCTTCCTTCAAATTTTGAGACAGACTCTCACTATATTGTCCAGATGGCACTTGCCATCTTCCTGTCTTGGCCTCTTTTCAGCCTCCCAGGAGGCTGGGCTTGTATTATAGCCATGCCCTTCAACATCTGCCATCACCATTTTAGTGTACATGTTATTATATCTGCTAGAAGAGCTCAGTTGCCTTTGATCTTAATTTGAAATATCTAGTATTTTTGAAAATTGTGTTAGCTTCATGTTTAACTGTCATGAAGTTAACATGGAAAAGATGTATGTGTTCTGGAAGTTCTAATCCCAGATGAGGCAGCCCCGTTGTTTCGGGCAGCTGGTGGGGATGCCAGATAAAAACACAAGGGGGGGTGCATGGGGAAATCTTCTTGTTTCCTGAGGCAGAGACCAGGCCTCGCACAGTCCCCTTCGAGGGCATGCTCCAGTGACCCAAGGACCTCAGACAAGGCCTGGCTCCTAGAGGTCCATGCCATCTCTTGATAACTCCACCTTGGGGACCAGGCCTTGAGCACACTGACCTTTGGCAGACACCATCCATCCCAACCATGGTAGTAGCATTGTTTCTTACTCCTTGAATTGTGGAGAAGATACAGAAGAACTTTAGATTGACTTGTTCTAATGACCTTTATGTCTTTGATAAAAACCTACATTAAATTTTGAATGTTTGATAAAAAGATATTCCTGATTAGAAAAAAAGTTGGAGTTCCTTTGAGTGGAACTTGCTGTAGGCAGCTGTAGTAGTTTATCAGTGGGGGTGGGGGTGGGATGTAGTTGGCTGCCTGTTGTTTCTAATATACTCTTTAGGATCCTGACTGCAAAATGTTTATGAAAGGGTAAAATTTTAGTGATTCCTCAAGGCTTTTGTTCTTTTTCTTAGTCATTTAAACCTGAGCAGCCTTTGTCACGGGCTGGAAGCCTTCACCATGCCCGATCTTAGGAGCTAATGGAACCATGCTCTCTCTGCAAGAGTCTTTGATGATCTTTAGATATGAAGGCTCGTTTGGTTCCATGGCTTGGCTCATTACTGTATTTTAACATCTGTTAAATGAGAAGAAATAGCTTTGACCAAGAGATTAAGTATGCCTGGTCCAAATAGTAAGGCTGTGATAAACATTAGCAAAGGCTCTGCCATGGAAGATAATCAGGAGGCCCAATTCTAGGCCTTTGACCAGGATCCCTGTGGCTCAGATAACTCCAGCCATATTGTAGCACAGTCAGCTAGTCTTTGTGTTGCATCTTCCACTACTCCATCCTGGCTCAGAAAGAACATTTTTCTTCTAGAAACCATTTTCAGTCATCATTAGGTCTTGGGCCCTCTGTTTTTTTAGAGCCACTGTGTAAATGCATCTGCTTGGTTTTGGTGGATGACAGTGTTTGAGGTAATTTCTTGTAGGCCATCTGCCAGATCCTTAGACAACTGGACCCATCAGGGAAGAAATGAGTTCTGTGGCTTGCTTTGTTCTCATACTGCAGCTAAAGGGATTGGCAGGGATCGGTTATTAGCTGTGTTGATGTCCAGGGCCAGGTAAACAAGAGTGCACGTTCCTATCCAATTTGCTGGGAGACCCAAGTAGAAATTGGTGCCACACAGGAACAAAAGTCCCAGAGTCTCAAGACAGAAGTTATTTTCAGTAGTATGTGTTTGGGCTAAGGTTATTGTTTTAATTTTCTTAGACAGGTAAAAGTCCTTGCCAGTGTAGCTCTAGTCATAGGCTAAAGGGGTCCATAAGAAGTGTTGGAGTACCTCTGTTTCCCCAGTGTGTACAGTTTCTTTTGGCATCTGCTTACTCTCATTCAATGGAGTTCCCGTAATCGGAACCAGCAAACAGTTGCTCTTTGTTGGTTCAAGCAATCCTCCATGGCAGTAGAGAAGCACAGTCAAAGGGTCTCCTGTGGCAGTGTCCAGAGACTGATTCTGTGAGAGCCACACCAGGGTTGTGTTCTGCTTGTTTTGAGTACATGTTTGCAGTACATAGTGATTATACTCCTTGTGGGGAGTTGGTACAGGTACAGAACCCCTCTTAGTCCTTTTTTAATCCCTCTTCCTTTTTCACCCCTTCCCCTTCCTCTTTCTTTTAATCCCCTTCCTATTTGCAAAAAACTTATTTTCCTACTTCATATTACTTCCTTTTTATTCTCTTTGTTAATATTTTTGGTTTTTAATAAGAAAACAATTTAAGCTTCTGTGTCTGTTTTATTTCACTTAATGTTATGGTCTCAAGGTGCATCTGTTTCCCTGCAAATGAGTTGTTTCTCTTTTTATGGCAGAGTAGTACTCCCTTGTGCATAAAAACACAGTACGCATTCCTCTGTTGATAGACATAGGCTACTTCAAGATTTAACTAAAAGGATGAGGTTTGGATTGTCTTGAGATCTTGTGAAGGTTTTATTGTTAGGATTTGTTTGCAAGGAAAGTCTTTTAAAGTGCCCAAATCCTCACCATAGCTTCAGTCTTGAGTCCTCATTCTACAAGGGTACACCTGGAATTTTAAGTAGTATGTGAACAGGTACTGGGTTCTAGTGGGTGGTTTTGTGGAAGAAACTTGGGTAAGGTGGTTCTGGTAGGCTCTGAGGAAGATACTAGCCCTCCCCAGTGAGGTTTCCGTGGTCATTTCACTGACCTGAAAATCACATAGGCTGTCTAAAGACTTTAACGGAAAGAAGCTGCACCCTTATTACTTGGGGTGGAAGGTCTTTTTTATTTTTTTAATTTAAAACATTTATTTATTTGGTACAGGGTCTCACTATGCAACTTGGACTCATAGTGATCCTCCTGTTTCAGCTTCCCAAGCACTGAGATTATAGGCGTGTGCCACCATGCCTGGTTTAGATGGAAGACCTGGTCCACCCAGGGTTCTGGGGCCTGCACGGCATGTGGTACTGGGGATCAAGCTCAGGTCCTTGTGCTTGCCAGGTAGGCACTTAGACCACTGAGCTATCTCCCCAGCCCCTGGAAGGTCATCTTTCTGGTATCCCAGAGTCCAGCTAGAATAGATGGAACAGTATATTGGCTGGAAGATGGGGAAAGACAGCTTACAGTTCTTGGCCAGGTTGGGATTAGTAGAATTTAGTGGGAGATTGGTTAGGTTTAAGGTTTTGTGTGGGTGATCACTATTCATCATCTGCTTTAGAGGCAGTTCTTCAGCTATTAAAGAGGATCGCAGAGCAAAGGAGAATAAGAACAACATAGGAGGAGTCATTTTGTAACTTTAGTGAGTTGTGGCAAGTAACAGAGTAGCAGAACTAGCCATATAGAACATGCAAGGAGAAACCCTATTCCCAGCCTCGAGCTAAGTCTAAAGGGAGCGAAGCAATTACCTGTCTGACTGAGGTTGGTGGGTATTTTTCTTTTCTGAAAAGAAGCTTCAGGCCATCCACTTGTTTGCAGGTATAGGTTTTTGGTCTTTCTTTCTTTCTTTCTTTCTTTCTTTCTTTCTTTCTTTCTTTCTTTCTTTTTTGCTGTCATTAATACACTTTTTATTAAATCTTGAAATTTAAAAATCAACCCATAGAGAAAATGTGGAAAGCAACCATAATGTAAAACAAAACATAGATTTTATAAACCTTGAGAACATATAATTCTATTACTAATACAAATACATAAAAAGCAATAGATGGAGGCAGGCCTGATAGCTCAGAGGACTAAAGTTCTTGCTTAGGTAGAGTGCAGCACCTGGGGTTCAGTCCCGGCCTGCCGTGCCAGCCCCGCCCACGGGGCATGCTGAGATGGTGATTGAGACTGGGCGTGGTGGCGTGCACCTGCAATCCCACTTGGGAGACTGCAAACAGGAGAATTGAGTCCCATC